GACCCCGGTATCCTGCAGCGATCCCTAGGCGCGAGCACCGCACCACAGTAAGACTTTTGTGGCAAGTGCTTTCACCCACTGAGCCATCTCCCAGGCCCACTTAAATAAATTTTAAAAACAAACACTACAGAAAATTAGGTGAATTGTGACACAACTCTGGTAAGTAAAGGATATTCTGCATATATGTAACAAAAGACAAAACTGGATAGTGAAATGTGGCATTGTATAAAGAGATTCTAGATTATTTTAAAACTTATTTTTGTATATTACCTACTTTCCTAAGTTTTCTAAGATGATATTGTTATAATTAAAAACATAAAAAAGGAAATATTTGAGAATACATTTTATATTTCTACATCACATTTCCACTGAAATACCACACATATGTTAAAAAAAATAAAGATGAAAGCCGAAATAACAAAAAAAGTAAAACTAAATATGTGTTTAATTGTGTCCCTTAAAGAACAAGGGTGGTCAGGTGTTCAGTGAATTGTAGGTTTTCTTAATGCAGCCGAGTATAAGAGGAGTATAAAATGAACTTAGGGAAGGACCTCGAATAATATGTTTAAAATAGACAAGTGACTTATTCCAACAAGACACCATACATCATAGAGGGTTAATGGTAACATCTTCCAAGATTGTGTTCATTTTGTCCTCATTGTATCAAGAGAATAGCCAATCATTACCTTGAGCGGTGTTGCTGGAGACACTGGGATAGCAGAAAAACTCCTGGGCACTGTCACAGAAGACACCTGAGGGGCATTATTGTAACTGCTGGACACTGCTGCTGCAGACACCTGAGGACTATTACAACCACTGGTCATTGCTGCTGAGGTCATTCCAAAGATCTGGGCACTGCTGGGCTCTGTGGCTGGAGTCACACGAGGGTTACTGTAACTGACAGGTACTCTTGATCCAGATACCTGAGGACTATTACAACCACTGGTCATTGCTGCTGAGGTCATTCTCGAGGTCTGGACACTGCTGCACACTGTTGCTGGGGTCACCTGAGGGTTATTGCTGGATACTGTTGCTGCAGACACACGAGGAATATTGCAACCAGTGGTCATTGTTGCTGGGGTCATTCGTAAGGTGTGGACACTGCTGGACACTGTAGCTTGAGGCATCCACGGGGCCTGGACACTGCTGGGCAGTGTTGCTGGGGTCACCTGAGGTTTATTGAATCTGCTGGACACTGCTGCTGCAGGTGCCTGAGGACAATTATGACCACTGGTCATTGTGGCTGGTGTCATGTGAAAGGTCTGGACACTGCTGGTATCTGCTTTGGGAGACTCCAGAGTAGCTTGGTGACTATAAGAAAGTGTTGAGGTTACCTGATAGGGCTGGGTGATCTGAGTGATGCTGGAGGTTGTCACTGGAGACACAGGAGAAGCCTTGTCACAGGTGGAACATGGTGCTGAAGAAGCCTGAGATGTTGCCAATATGGTGGATGATATTTCTGGAGGCTCCAGGGGGGTCTGGAGGCTGCTGGAGGCTGTTGTTGGAAACTCCTGAGGAGTTAGGGGTTCACACTCATCTGGGTATGTGCTGGTTGCTGAAAGTTCTGGAATGTTAGGCTCTTCCTCCCAAAACTGTGTTGTCATGGTGTCAGGTGATACAGGGATAGTGTCTTTGCTTTCCTGAAAGGAAATAGTTTTAAAAAATTCTTTGTATCCTAATAAACGTTGTTCAAACAAAATCAGATCAAACACGTCTTTGTCTTTTTTTCCTTCGAAAATACTTCTGCTCTGCTAGTGTCCCCTTCGTCCCTACCCTGCCCCAGCTGGGCTTCATGAAGCATTTTCAGATTGCATGTAGGTACTTCCTAAACCTAGCCCTTTCCCTTTCTAATCAGAATGTCCCTTAGAAACGAGGGCACTAAATTTCACTGGTCTGGTTCAGAATACTGACTCTGCATGTCTTATAAAACTGACAAAAGGTAACCTCAGACTCAGACTCAGAGTTATTGGATGGGAAACAAGTCTTTAAACAAAACTGGCTCCCATTTGTGGGTTTTTCTCCCCTCAGCTTCTCAACGAAGCCACTTCAAATTGTCTGCTTTTGGGGACACAAGAATCCCTGTCACCATCCTTTCAGGTGATCTGATTATAACTGTATAACAGGTTCCCTTAAATAATGGACCACAGAGTTAAACTTTCGGGAGATCGGATGGAGCTAAGTTGGTATAGTATTTGCCTAGTAAGTGCTAGGCAAGGCTCATTTAAATATGTGCTTAGGTTAGGGTCTGTGGCAGAACCTTCCCCCAATGAATAAAGATTTCAAGGAGCCAATCACGGGGCGAGTAGGCGGGACTTCCAGGTCAGAGAAAGGAAGACCGGAGGCAAAAGAAAGATACTTGATTTTGGACAGGAGAGAGCTTGGAGGACAAAATGTAGGTAGTGGAGGCCCCCGGTTCAGGTGGCGGATTTGCAGGGATCCACTACCAGAGGATTTATAACATAGAATAGTTTACAAATTAGGACGCTAGTTGCTGCGCCCAGCGATTCTGCCACCTGTTGATTCTAAACTAAGATTGTGTGGTGTTTTCCTTCACGTGGCAGCTCAGCTGGTTCCAGAGAAAGGTACAGTGGCAGGGGACCCCAGCCAGCCACGGGAATTTGGACTCGTGGGGCATGCGTGGCAGAACTTAGCCACTTAGCTGGGTGGAGAGGTTTCGGAGCTCTGAGTCAGAGTCTGCCGGCTGAGAACAGGCCTGTTCGCTGGTGCCTTGCCTGCAGTAGCGTGGATTGTTTTGTTTGTTTGTTTGTTTGTTTTCTTTTATATTTAGTTAAATGAAAATACTGTATATATGAATGTAAAGAGATATATAAGAAGAATGTGTAATAAAGCAATACATATGTTTAGGACTTTTTAATATACTTATATAAACTTATATGAGGCATAAAACTTGAATGATTTTAAACTTAGCTTTAAAAGTAAAAACTAATAAAAGTGAAACCGTGTAAAAAGTTTGTCATGTTAATTATTAGTGTTTTCTTTGCTTGTTTCTGATTCCCTCGGTGTGTAAGTCTTCTGAGAAACAGAAAGAAATAGATGCATTCAGCAATGGTAATTTGACAAAGAAACCCATACCAACGAAAGGACAGGGGTTTTGTTTATTCTGAAGATCATGTAGGAAACAATAAACGATAGAAGGCACGAAGGGCTTTGCTTTCACAGGTCTAGTTGTAAAGGAGTGTGCAGACTTGCTGCCCCGAATCACATCCAATGCATGATTCTCCGGTGTATTTGTAAAATACAGTCATTAAAAAGCCTTTGTCCAAACAAACAAACAAACAAACAAGAGGAAAAAAGAAATAAAATAGTTGATGTCATCTGAAAAAAACTGATTATTTATGGCCTTTTCTTCGGGCTTAGATCTGTTTTAATTATATTATTATCATTACTTATGAAGACAGATAATTAGATGTGCACATTGATTTTACATTCCAAGTAGTGCAACTCTAATTATTAAAAAGACAAAACATTGGTCATATAGAGATTCGTTGTATGATAGAATTCAATAAAATAAACATTTGTAAATGGTTGTCAGGGTTTCACAATGTACACTAAAAGATGAATGGTTACGTTGAATAAATAAGTTAGTGCAAGATTAGATGATAAGCTCCTTCAAGATTTTTATCATTGTGAAGAAGTCTGGAATATCTTCAATGAATGGACCACAGAGTTAATATTTCTGTCAATCATGTTGTACCTCACCTGGTAGGTAGACTTCTTTTCTAGTATAAAGGAAGCCCAATCATATCTCTTTTAAATATATGTAAAGATAATGTGTTTTAAATAATCAAATTATGTGATAAACCTGGTTAAATTATTATAAATTATTTCTTAGTAACATATACCTTGTCAAGAGCAAAAGCATCTTACTGACATCTTCATAGACACATTTGGTATTGTGATGACTGACTGTCATATGGTGGAATTATGGAGGCTTCAGGGTTTTTGTTGTTGTTGTTGTTATTGTTGTTGTTGTATATTTCCCCATTTTTCAAAGGAAAAAATGCATACATATCCTACCAGTAATAGCTGATCTTCTCTTTTGTGTGTTAGAGGTTGAACTTGGGGACTTGTGTGTGCCAAGGTAGACTCCACTATAGGGTTTTATCCTCAGTCCCTGTCATGTGTTTTAAAATTGTATGAAGAACAATGGTTTTAATACCAAGATAATTAATTCCAGGTTACTGGATTCTGAGTCTATTGATTCCTTGGGAACTGCACTTTTTGAACAAATGGCCAGAGAAAAGCATAGGATCATCTTGTCCAGGAACAGAAATACTTCATGTATGTCACTACTCTATGCACATTCCATGGTGGGAGAACAGGACACGCATGTACATTTAGAAAGTACAAGTTGAGTTTAGTGTCCTTTGACAGGCTTTGGAAGTTCATATCCTTAAACTGACTGCTACTTTCGCAAATGTTCTTAAAAGGAATAATGTGGGGTTGGAGAGGTGACTTATGGGGCAAGAATAATTGCTGCACATACATGAGGGTCTGAGATCGGATCTCAGCACCCACATAAAAGTCTAAGCTTTCCTAGTGTATGTGTATGGGTATGTGACCCTAGCACTGTGAAATGCATGACAGGATGGTCTCTGAGCCTTGCTGCCTACCAGCATGGCTCCAGGTTCATGGAGAGACTGTATCTCAAAGGAGTAAGGCATAGAGTGATTAATCAGAGTATTTTAAATCCTTTTTTGACATCAAGGATATCATGCACACACATGTATGTAAATCACACACACACACACACACACGTGCACACACAAACATTCACAAAGCAAGTAATGATTGTGTGTATTTGCTATAGAAAATTTTGTTATAATAAAGTACACATTTGTCCTTCAGTTTAAAACAAAATGAGTGACCAGAAATTGTGAAAATGTTTACCCTTCATTTTGTTTTAGCTAGGTCCGTGACACAGATAAGGGGCTTATACTAAGTACTCAGAGAAAAGTCCTGGGAGAACAATCTTAGTGAGTGCTTTTTTAGTGAGATCTTAACAGCGTACCTTTGGTGAAGATGTCGTCATAGCTGGTTCTACTTCCCAAACTTTCATCATGTTGGGGGTAAGTGGTAGAGTACTGGATTCAGATTTTATTTTGGTTTTATTTTTAACTGATGAAATGAAGAAAATACAATTAATAAATGAAGCTGTCCTGTTGTAAGACAGCTGAAGTTCATTTCATGCATTTGCTTCCTGCTTGTGTCTCAGTATATTTCCTGCCCCTGCCACCAACAATACAAACACAGAAACTGCTTCTGGGTTTCCTTGCTCTTCTCAGGTGCAACTACCATGACACTCTTCCCTCTTGGGGACGTCTATGCATACCAGCCAAGCCCCCCACCCAGCCCTTTTATCCTATAGCTGATTTTAAGAATATAAAATTTCTATAATTTGACAGATTATCTTCTATAGGTCACCCCAAATTAGAGAAATAGAGAAAGAAGATGTAATCAATTCTGACATGTGACAGAGGCTTAACAGTGAATTTCTATCACTTACTTTTGGGCTCTCTTTTATTTTCTTGAGACAGGATCTCACCATGATCCCCAGGCTAGCCTGAAACTGGAGATCTCTCTGCCCAAGCCAGCTGAGTGCTAAGATCACAGATGTGAGGCAATATGCTTATGTTTGTTTCCATTTATTTTGAACCCAGTAACTTTATAAAAGGGAATTTCACATCTCTTAGATTCAGGATTCTACTTAAATATTGGCTCACCCTTGTTGCTGGAAGACATACTAATGATGGTGTTTCTTAGAGGAATTTTAAATATGGTATTAAAATTTTCACTTTGTAATTTTCTACCCATTCCACTCTACTGGAAGGTATTGTTTCTCCAAGCAGCTTCTGCTTTTGTTGTTTTCACCCACCCCAAAGACATCTACCTCCAAACCCATTACAGTTCTTTGTAGGAAAGGAGTTCCCTAAGTTTCCACCATTTAAAGTGGTGCCATTCTGTAGGTCCTGATGCAGACACTGGGGAAGAGGCATATATATTAGCTGTGATCACTGCAAGGAGCCAGCAAGGTTTGGGAGAATAGAGGAAAAGTGGGCATCCAGACTGCTTCTCTATTACCTTTCTCCATCTCTTTCCTAAGTATATCAACACAATCTTCAAGTTCTGAAATATCTTCAAATACTTCTATCAGTTTGCTCAGTCCAGCATCCTCCGGGAACTTTTCTTCCATTAAGTCAGCAATCTTAATTCTGTCATAATCATCTTGCATTTTCTTAGTCAGTTTTAGGTCATGGATCAGTAAAGACTTAAGGACTCTAAAGTTATAGTCATTGATACATTCTAATCCGAACAGAAGAACAATTTTCTTGTAGTGATTCACCATCTCTCAAGTTATAGATAAGCCTACAAACAACAGTAGATGAATTACATACATAAACAGACAATTTAAAATGCAGAGTATATCTAGGTGAGCAAACAACCCATGACATAGTGTTGTCCATAGCTGTGCATGTGAAAAAAAGGGAGCGTTGATTACTAACTGCGCCATTGGGGAAACAATGGGTGCAGAACTGCTTGGTTAGTAAACATGTCTAAGAAACCCTTCCCTGTTAATGATGATGGCTGAGTGAGGTCAGGGAAAGTGGCTATGGGAAAGCATGGAAATCATCCTTAGTTACAGTGTATAGAGTATGGGTTGTGAAGGCTGAAATCCCAGGTCTTTTTTTTTCTGTTATATAATAATGATGGACCTTGATTCCTCTCATCATTTTTTCTCTTTTAACAGTTGTTTATTATTTTATTTATTTACCTATTTATTTACATCCCAAATGCTGTTCCCCCCCTTTCAGATCCCCCTTACCCAGTTCATCCCTCCATCCCCCTCCCTTTTGCCTCTGAGAAGATACTCCCCCCCATCCCTGTATCAGTATTTCCCCATCCTGGTGCATCAAGTTTCTTCAGGATTAGGAACATCCTCTCCCACTAAGGCCAGAACTCTGCTACATATGTGTCAGGGGCCTTGGGCCAGCTCACCTATGCTCTTCAGTTGGGGGCTCAGTCTCTCGGAGCTCTCAGGGGTCCAGATTAGTTGACTGTCTATTGGTATTAGAACCTGTCCCTAGATGTCCCCCTGTGAGTTCCCGACTTGCCAGTGTGCAAGTGGCTTACCTGTAAATGGTCTGCATGTTCTCTCAATGTACAGGAGTGGGTATTGGCTACAACAGGGTGAACCTTGCCAGTGAACAGACTATAGTCTACTTGGCTCTTAGTTAAGCAGTTTCCGTTAGCATCCTGTCTCACCAGATGTTAGACCTTGTTTCCTACGGTACTTTCTAGTGCTAGATGACGGCATTCACTGGGGGGGGGGGGATATTTCAATAGCTACATGCTTTTTCTCTTTTTAGGCTTGACATTTTTAGTTGGTTTTCTTTGCTCATAGTGACAGTTTTCTCTGCACAGGCTGTGTTTAAACACAGCTAAAATAAGTTAATAGCTGACCAGTTTTTTTTAAAAAATCCTTACTCCTTAAAATACTCTGGAAGTTCTTGGATAATCTGCCTCTTTTACATCTGGTTCTTTTATATTCGTGCTATATTACACTGTGGATACACAGCACCCTTTGCCTTGCTGTGCTCTGTGAAGTAGATGTTGTCCTTCTCATGATTACTCTTGCATTACCTTCTCGGCCTGTCGTCTATGATAACCTTTAAGAATCAACTGAGATTTTGCCTTCTGGAAACTCTCCAGATTCCCCCAACAGACCCAAGTTCCTCTTCTATATATGACTCGGAGTTTCTGTACATCCCTGATAACTCTCAAGGATGGATTGATTCTATGATTTGCTTAAATTGTTGTCATTTTAGTTATGGGTTATTTTGTTTGTCTATCTCTGTCTCTCTGTCTCTCTCACTCGTTTTGTGTGTGTGTATGTGTGTGTTTGTGTAATAGTGTGTAATATTCTAATCAGAATGCTAAATGTTCTTGGACTATTAACATTGTTTAACAGCATTGTCAGGCAGACAATGTTCAGAGGATGAAAGGCAAGTCTACAAAGAGAAACAGAACATTGACAGCGAAGAACACTAAAGAAGATCAGATTATATAAAAGACCATATTCTCCAGAGCAGTATACTTTCAGCAAAATAGTGGGATGATTTTGTATTACAATGGCCTAAGATACTACAAACCAAAAGAGTTTCAAAAATATGAAGGTTGTATTTATTTTTTGATTTTTTGACAATAAGCTTATTTCAAAATATCAACTGATGTGAAATGATAGGAGATCTTAATGTATTTGATAAACTCTGTGTTAGCATTCTGTCTTAACTCCACCCCCACAGTTATCTGACAATAGCCAAGTAGGCCTGGTCCACTATAAAAGGGGCTGCTTGTCCCCTCCCCCCCCTCTCTCTCTCTTGATCTCTTGTTCTTGCTCTTTTGGTCCCTCTTTCCCTTCGCCCTTCCCTCTTCACTTTCCCCTGTCTCCACGTGCTCATGGCCAGCCTCTACTCCTCTACTTCTCTACTCTCTCTTTCTCTCTCTCTGCCTCTACTACCCTCCTGGCTCCCCTCCCCATGCCCTGAATAAACTCTGTTTTATACTATACTGGTGTGTGGCTGGTCCCTCAGGGAGAAAGGGATGCCTCATCATGAGCCTGTTGAGACATCCCCTTCCCACATACCTCACCACACACCCACAGAACATACTCTTTCTCTTTTTATAAACACATCATTGGTGCCGAGACTAGGAAATCTGCAAGTTTGCATCACACCAGCTACCAAAAGAGATCCATGCTTGCTAGGCTAGAACTGGTAACCCCCATCCCCCATGGGTCAGAGTAATCATCCACATGGTCCCAGGGAAGATTTCTTGAGCTCGGAGCTAACCCTGTGCTTCCCTGATACTTGTTCTAGGATTCTTTCTCTTGGGTGAGACTTTCCCTTTTCCTTTTGAGACAATTTCTTTCTTGCAGCTGAGAACCCCAGGCTGGGCCTGGACAAACTGCTCTCTTAGGAGGACTGCCTCTAAGCTCTAGTCCCCATCCCCCAGGAGTCTCACCCAGGGGTCAGTCTCTACCAGTAGCATAGGCTTCTCCCCTCCTACTCTGTCATTTGCCACTGGCTGTAGCCACTAAGTTTGCCAGTTTGCCTGAAAAGCAGGTCTGGGACTCTGCTTGCTCCTTTCCCCCACTGTGTTCCTTAGCTCTGTTCTGGGTCTACTCCTTGCATCCTGCCACAGACCCTCTCTGAGACTTGCTTTCCCATGTGTGCAACCACCTTCACAAAGGGCTTGGCTGCCGAAACATAGGAGGGAGTCTCTCTCCCTTTCTATTCAGACCTATAAAGTGAGTGTGCCCATAGTACTGTCTACCACAAGAGTAGCTAGTGCACACTGGTCCACAGCTTCTGGCTGCTTGAAGGAAGTCCTGCTCTGCAGTGGTGCTGATCCAACTCGAAGCACCTCTGCCTCAGCTGCGGGCCATAGCACAACCCAGGACCATGACCTGTAGCCCACAGCCCTGACCTGCTGGCCATATGATCGTATGCCACTGCTGCTAACTTTTTATTCTGGTTCTAGCCAAATGTTTCTTTGCTAATAAAAATATGTGCTTTTCTCTACCTACCCATCCTGCCAAAGTTACTTAAGACTCTTTCCTATCCAGTCTTGACAGGTTTTTGCTACTGCTATTAAATTCTATTCAGTTACAACCAATCTATACAGTCCTCAATCTTGTCACAAGTCTGCTAATAGAATATTTAAGATTACGACAGCAGAATTCCCAAAGCCTCTAACAGTTGACCCAAGATGGTTTCAGAAGACTTGGACACCTAGAAGATACTGCCTGGATTATATCCGATGATATAGTCACTAAAAAATGTAGTGGACAGAACTGAATGTCCTGAGTTAAATGACTTGGCTAAACCAAAATGTCATGTGTATCAATTCCACAGAGAAAAATCCCTGCATCTTCTGCACTTGAAAACCAGACTGACTTCGCCCAAGAGACCATGGAGACCAAGGGAACTGTTGGCTAGTGGACTCTGTCATTTTAAAAATAATATATAACTGATAGATTATTGTTTACTCTTTCTCAGACTTCTGGCTACATTGGCAGCTAAGCTTTCACAGATGTAATCTGTTATATCATTACCTAAACTCAGTTTCCATTGATTAAATGCTTCGTATTTCCTCTTCTTGCTATGCCACTGTCCTAAATTATCTGAATTCCTAAAAATTTGCCTAACTCTAATAAAACATTCCACTATATGATCCAGCAAAGACTCATCTTAAAGACTGCTCGTGTTGTTAACTCATGCTGTTATCTCTTTAGTAAACTTATATGCTACAGGAAACCCACTCAGATCTGCCTCTCACGGACCAAATAGACTCCATCCAGATAAGTACATCTGCCTACAGTTCCCATTTACTACCTATTCCAAAGGATGGGATCATTCTGAGTTTCAAATGTACATCTTAAGAAAAATTTTTCTTTCTCCCAAACGTACTTAGTCTTATTCCCTATGTCTTGTCAAGTGCAGGCGCATCCAGAACAGCTTCAGAGAGGCAAACTCCAGATGCTCCATCTCCTGTCACACACACAGATGCTTCTACTGGATCTGTTCTTTCTGATCTATCCTCAGATGGCTCCATAGACCCCAGACAGCAGGAAACACCCAACTCTTCCAAGATTGGACAAACATCCCTCATACCCATTCTTCCAGGTTCCCTAGAGACACATTGCTCCCAATGCCAGCAGGAAGTAGCCAGATATCACGATGACTCTATTGTTGCTTTGCCATCACTTCTTCCTAAGTTTTTCTTTTTTAATTAAACAAAAAAAAAGAACATTAGCATTCTGTCTAAACTCTACCCCCACAGTTACCTGGCAATAGGCAGGTAGGCCTGGCCCACTATAAAAGTGTCTGCTTGCCCCCTCCTCTCTCTCTTGCTTTCTCACTCTTGCTCTCTTGCTCCTTTCTTGCCTCTTGCTTCTCTCTGTCCCGTCACCCCTTCCCCCTTCCCCTCCTCCTCTCTCCAGATGCTCATGGCTGGCCTCTACTCCTCTACCTCTCTCTCTCTCTCTCTCTCTCTCTCTCTCTCTCTTTCTCTTTCTGCCTCTGCTACCCTCCTGGCTCCCCTTCCCCTGCCCTGAATAAACTCTATTCTATACTATACTGTTGTGTGGCTGGTCCCTCAGTGGGAAGAGATGCCTTGGCATGGGACTGCTGAGACAGCCCCTTACCCCATACCTCTCCACACACTCCCATTGAACATATTCTATATCTCTTTATCTTTTTATAAACACACTCTGCTTACATGTAAATGCGCATGCTTCACTGTTGAAATATATTTTTTTTTTAATTTTGGAATAATGATAGCAGTCTCAATAATATCCAGTAGTATAGTATTTCGGATATTTGTATTAAAACCCATCTTCAGCCAGCAAATCCTAAATATCAAAATATAGTCACCTCCAGTGGTGCAAAAAGGTGCCCTCTGCTCACCTTGAGTAAAATAAAAACTGAGAATGAGTCTTTGAATGCAGACCAATTCACACTCACAGAAGAAAGTCTCAACAGTGTTGTCTGGCATCAGCACCTCAGCAGCTTCCTATGTGCTGATGTCATATGTGCTGATGCACAGGGAAGAGCTCTTGGAAGTGTGACAAGAAAATGGTATGTACAGTCGAGAGCTCCTCAGAGTAAAACCTAAGCTAGGTGAAAACTGAAGTTGCCTAGGCAAGCCTCTATCTCAGGATTGAAACTCTCCTCAGAGAGAGGAAAGACAGGAAGAAGATCACCATGGCCTCTGAGGGAGTAAACAACTTAAGTTCAGGGATGTTGTTGTCTATGGTTGTCAGCCACTAGCTATAAAGAAAGGGCAAGAAAAGAAATATAGATGTACCATTAAAGAAATGGCCATAATAGGAGTCAGAAAGTGTCCCCAACCTACACTATGAGGCCTAACATAATCAGTTAATTAACATCCTTGGCAAATCTTCTTTAACATGTGTAGCTAAATGTTATCATTCAGACATACATTAAAGGTGGAAATTTTAAAATAAATATTTTAGAGTAACTAATAAGATCCAATTTTTCTATATTAGCATTGTCTTAATTAGAAGTAAAAATTAAAATTCCTGTCAGAAAACCAACGAAATCACAATAGTTTACCTCCTAGAAATAAATAACAATTTTAATAATAGAATTGTCTAATAATAACTTAAAAATAAAGTTTTTATGCTCAATTTAGGAGTTTTACCTAATTTCTAAATGAACAAGGTCATAACTTTTTTACAATTCTAGAAAGTCTGAGTAGCATAATTAATAAACTTAGGTAATAGATCAACCACAGTGCACAGAGGGTCTTCAGAACAGTCTAAAAGTTTGAAGAAATATACACCTATTTCAAATTAATTCTCCATCTCTTTTCTACATCTTACCACCAGAAAACAAAAACAAAGAAAACTAAAAAGACAAAAAATTCAAAACAATTAACTTTAAGGGTGATATAAATTAGCCATGTCTACAGAAGATGTCTACAATACCACCTTATCCCCTTGACGCAGAAGTGAATGAAGACCATTAAATGTGCTTATGAAATCTTTAAAACTCCATGTTTTCAATAACTATGAAACGGAGACACTTTTGAGCACTTGTGCCCATTAGCCCTCTGGCTGTGTACTATTGAAATACTAGATAATGCAGCTTAATATCATGATGCATTTTTCACTGAACATTACTTCGTGGCAATTTTTCCTGTCACAATTGACTTTTTCTCAGCCATTTATCATAACAACCAGGTTCTAAACACCCTCTAGTCAAGAAAACTAAAGCCCTCTTCTCCTTACTCACTTATCCTGACTTCCCTCTAAAAAGTGTATTTAAAGTCTGAAATATGCCCCTTTTTTTGGCTCAGTCCTACTGGTAGAAGAATAAGGATGCCTACCATCTTCATGAGCCAAGGACCTGAATCCAGCTACTGCAGATTCACTGCTCAGTGTAGCAGCCACCAGCTTGGCTTCCTTCTCTTTCAACCAAAACATCAGCAGGGATTTCACCTGTAGTTTTGTGCATTCACAAAGTATCTACTTTCCACAGAAAGCAGGGACAGGACTCACCTCTTCAGAAATTTCTTCAGTGGTATCCAGCTTTTGCAGGATATGAAGAGGTGTGTGTGTGTGTGTGTGTGTGTGTGTGTGTGTGTGTGTGTGTGTATGTGTCTGTGTGTCTGTGGGTGTAGATAAAAGAGTAAAAACCAGTAAATCTCTTAGAAAGTGAACCAGAGGATTTTATAATCTAAAATTCTGAGAAAATGAAGTGTTTACACAGAGAGAAAGAAAGCTGACACTGGGTAGAGTCACTGTACAGACTGCTCAGACTGGGAAGTACTGGGTGTCTCATCCTGTGCTATTTTGTGTGAGTCATAAAACATGTGATCTCCTTCAACAATGTTCATAGCTTTCGATTTCCTCAGATACTGAAACTCAAGGGTTTCTTCCTGTAAACAACTACCAAAAAAAGCCAGAGCTAGTTACACTCAGGATTTTTCTTGCAAATCTTCATAGGTACAAGATTCAAATTTAAAACAGTCATGTCCTACAAGTTTACAAAAGGGTTCCTAGGAATCTTCATTCCTTTGAATGAAGGTGAAAATCTAGACCAAAAAAGCCAATTCACCCTGCCACTTCTTTCTTTCCTGCTCAGGATGGAGACAGCATCAGAAGATCTTGGCTGTGTCAGTTCCCAGCCGCATGTGAATGGGTTTCAAGGAAAATCTAAGATGAAACAGCTTCTGGGTTAAGTCATTCTTGTAGCACCTATGCATCCATTGGCAGTTCCCTGGACCTGATTTACCAGAGCATAATGTTACAAACACACAACTCTAAGCTCCAACCTCAAATAAATAGAAAGGCATTTGACATTATCCTCCTTCCTCTTGATTGTAAAATTAAGTTGTCCTCCTTAGATGGTGAAGTTAGTGCTTCCTCAGTGTCTCTACATTATTCATGATACCTTGGGGCCTTGGAAACAGTGGGAAAGCTCTGAACTTCTATTGAGATTATGGGTTTAAATAATGCTTGTCCTGCTGCATTTTTCTGGGAAGGAGGGTTCAAGGATTAAGGACTGTTGTAATCCTGAAACATGAAACAAATGGCAGTAGATAATGGTGTGTGAGCCTGCCAGCTGGTCGACAAAACAGGATATTGCCATAGTTAGGTATCCAGTCTACTCCCCAGGATCAGCTGATTCACCTGGATGAAAACGATGGATATTAAGTTGTTTTCCAAGTTCTAGTTTTGGGTAGCTTCTGAATGTCTCTGCCTTTGATAGTAAGAAGCATGTAGCAGGCAGGAGGAACAGTAGCAAGTGTTATTTTCTGGTCTTGTGGTTCTCCTGCAGCAGGTCTTGAGTAAGTTAGAGCTCTTGTTATAGACCTAGGTCATTAGCACCTTTAGCTTTTCAAATGTTACAACATTTCAAGGAATGGGAAGGCAGCCTAGTATTACAGCCTCTGGGCAATCTTAGGTGTTGAGATGCCTCAGTCCATGATAGGGCCAATGTTGAAATTCCCAAGTCAGAGGTGTCTGACCCCTTTGACTCTAAAGCAATGGTTCTCAACCTGTGACAGTGATGCTTTTGCGGGTTGAATGATACTTTCACAGGGATTGCGTATTAGATATTCTGCATATCAGCTATTTATATTACAATTCATAAGAGTGGTAAAATTATAGTTATGAAGCAATATTAGGAACGTTGAGAACCACTGCTCTAAATTCGTGAACATTATCAGGAACTATCCTAATGACCTAGACTGGTGATTTCTCTTTTCTGGTTCTTCCCAGCCTACTCCTTTGCTCACTGTCACCTTTACTCCTACTCTTCCCTTTCTGTCCTGGCAACTCTCCCAAAGTGTCCAGCTGTCTTATCAGTTGTCCAATAGCCTGGCCACCTTTGCAGTTTAGCCTGGTGACAGCATAGATGCTACTGCTGTATCACTGCATCTGCCACTACTGTCATCCTGCTGCTCTGCTGCTCATTGTTCTCAGATAACCAGATCTGCCCTCACCACTAAATATAGACAAAAAGAGAAGCTAGAGAGAAGCCTGCCATTGGGTCATTGTGCTTCTCTAAGAGCCACCAGAGTAGGTGTTCTTCCAGCTCCCATAGTAAACCTGAACAATCTCATTTTATAGTCACTGAAGAGTGTCTGCATTAGTTAAAGTACACTTCATACCCAAGTTAGGGTTTCTGTCTGTACCAATATCACAGGCATTCTTTTGCAAGGCATCAAGGAGAAAGTGTTGCTTCTCTGACCTCTGTGAAATGGTTTCAGGGTCAGTGTTCCCCAAGATTATTGACAACAAACTCTGATACCCAGTGTCTGTAAAAGCCTCACTGAGGCTGTGCTCTCAGAAGCTAACAAGCCATGAGCTGAAATTGTGTAATCTTCTCAAAACATCTCTAGCCTATTCAACCAATGTTTGGATAAGGTTAGTCTGAATATGTATTTGGCTGACATGACAGTCTTTGTGGGCAAATGGGCAAGGAGAGTAAGGGAGTGCCCAGCAGCCGTTTATTAAAGAGCCAAAGTCCCAATCTTTCAGTACATTTGTTAATTTAAAGGAAAAGGTACTCAAGAGGGACAGCTTGTAATAAGAACTTGAAGAAATTATCATGAACAACAATGGTGATTTGTTTATCAGAGCTGTTGCAACACAGCTCATCCACACAACTCCCAGGAATAAATGAGCTATCTATCTATCTATCTATCTATCTATCTATCTATCTATCTATCTATCTCTAATCTTAATTATTCCAAACCTTAATCATTAATTGATGTGTCAGGGCCCAACTCAATAGGTAGCTTTATTCATAAGGCATGCGGTCCCTGGTTATATAAAAATTGTTTAATTAACCATGAGCAAGAGAGCAAGAAAAAGAACAAGCAAGAGAACAAGCCAGTGATCAGCATTTTCCGGTGGTTTCTTTTTGGAGTACCGGCCTTTAGTCCTTGGCCTAGCTTTCCTCAGTGATAGACTATAACCTGAAAGTCTAAGCCAAAAGACCTTTTCCTTTCCAAGTCGCCCTTAATCAGAATGTTCTGTCCCAATAGAGAAGAAAGTAGAATGTCAATGCTAAGAAATCAGTGTTATGGGAATTAAGAGTTCATTGAAATTGGACCCCTCCCTCATGGTTAGTTTTCGGTCCCGTGCTTCATTTTTCCGGTGATCCTATAATGGTGAATGTAAGAACTATTTCTTCTTAGGGGTTTCAAATAGCATATGAACATGTAGAACAATTGAGGATTTGTAGAGGTCCACTAAAGGAAATCTACCTTTTCCTGGTTAAAAGTATAGCTGAGTTATATATCTGTCTAGGAGTGAAGAGATGATATTCTGAAATGCTTCAATGATAAGAACATTATATAATGCTCATTAAGAACTAGGTAAAATATTAAGACCTAGATGAAATGTGAAGGCCTAGGTAACTGTTACCCAGCTAGTCTGCCATTTTGTGCTGTTACTATTATTATAAAGAAACTTTCTCATATTGTTTTTGCTGCTATTAGGAAACTTTCTCATTCCAAAGTTGATGACATATTCTGTTATAGTCTGTGCCCTTTGAAACCAAACATCACAAAAATCAGTACAAATGCTGTGTATAGCTACCTACAATAAGCTTGGACCTAAACCAACCACACAGCAGCACTTTCTACACTTGTGTATAAACTTTTGTAGTATTTGCTTTTGTAAGCTGTCCCAGGGATAGACCCCAACATAAGACGGACACTTTCGCCAATATAAGAAATTGTTTTAAAAAGATTTATTTTGAGTAGGGCTCAAGTAAAGTTTAAGTTCCCAAGACCTCCCTGGAAACTGACATTCTATTTTGCAGAAAGAGACATATAGCTGACATCCTGGTTGACAAATTAAGACATGAATATTGACAAGGCAAGCCCCTGCCACAATTAAATTCCCCAACCAGTGGGAACCGGATAAGTGTACAACAAAGACATGCTCTTAAGGAAGATCCCTATCCCCAAATCCAAATTGGTGGAATAACTTGGCAAAGATGTTTGTAGATATGATGATTAAAAAGCCCTGTAGGATCTTTATTCAATGTCATGGTTCAGCTACTGAGCCTGGAATGTGGCCCTGATCTATCAGTCTTCGGTTGTAGTGTTCAGTAAAACGTCCCCATTTGACTGAGATTTGTGTTGAGTGGTTTGTGCAGTGATTCCCAGACCCCAACAGTATTGTTTTCTCAATCAGTAATTAATTCATTTATTGGGGGGGGTTTCTGCAGGTGTCAAAGCAAGCAGTGATCCAAAAACAGGTGAGAATGAAAACTTGGTTCAGAATGACTTTGTCAGTCAACCTAGGTCAAAGCCTGAGGAGTCTGATGCTCAGCACTTTATTACCAACAAATTTAAACACAGTATAATTAGAAAAAAGAAAGTTTCCTGATGTAATACAATCCATGGAGCACAAGGAAGCATAATTATATTTAAAATCAACTCAAGGTACATGCCATTGCTTTCAAGAAAATGAGTTAAGGGGTTATAGTAGGATCTAGCCTAATCTTGGTCATACAGGCATGTAGACTGGCTACCTTTGGTCCTGGTTGTGGAAGCTAGGCGAGCCCATGGCTGTAAGGGTCATTTAGATTACTAGCTACCTCTGGTTCTGGTTGTAGGAGAAGTTTGCTATGTCCTGCCCCAGATCACTAGATTGTTACTCACCTCCAATTCCCAGATTCTTGATAGAAGAACATATTTTACATAATGTACTTTGAGAGGTCAACCGTGTATATTTAACATTCATGATGTCCCTGGAGATCTGTGGACACAAGGACCTTGTGTTAGAATTCGGGTGCGGTTTGAACAGACAACACAAGGCTGATCCGGTTCCACGGGAAGGGATTTATTTAGGGAAGGGAATGGGAGAGAGGAGCGGGAAGGTGGCGAGCGAAGAAGAGGAAGAGGAAGAGAGCGAGGTTGGGGCGGTCTCAATTATTTAAGTGGGTGAAGACATGTAACTTCCCAGGTGCAGGTGAGCGAGACAGGTGAATTCTGGGAGTGGTTGTCTCAGTAATGAGGTAGGAGTCGCCTGGCCTCTGAATATGATGTCACTGGTTTCAGACTTATACTAACACCTTTGCCTTGTCGACATTTCAGGGTCATTCAATCACTTGTCCAGGATTCTGCTTCTTAGAAATGATTTACAAAAATATGTCCCTTGATACAGCTACTTACATTATGTCTACCATGTAACATGGTGAAGCCTGCCCATTTTTCTAGGTCCTTTATAAAACATATGTTTCTCTTTCTATCTTTTTACTTTGGACAGTGATCCAAAGTCTAAGCACTCTTTCTCTGACACTGTGTTTGTTTTGCTCTT